TTAACCACTGTATCTCCCTATTTATCACCAAGATTACTATTGAGAAATAAGTTTTCATGTACTTCTTCACTCAACTTACCTGTTTCTCATTATGAGGTTTACTTAAAAGGTGGCAATTTGGTTGTCTTCATCACTTTATTCAATGTTCTTAATATTCTGTATCTTTTATTTCTGTTTACATTGGCAATATTCTACAAATTCTTTTCTTTTTGGCTGAATTCACTTTTCTTGTTTTAATTTTCTCCAATCTCTCTTTATAGTATTCTTAAAGAAAGTTATTTTCTTTTCCTTATCTTGCTAATGTTTTTTAATATTTTTTTTTTTGTTTTTTTCATGAACTTTTTTAGCTTTTTCACAATTTTCAATATTGTATTCCCATCCAGTGGTGGAGTCTGGGGACCAATTACCCCAGGAGCTAAATTTTTAGGGGTGTAAAAAAATGAATTAGGTTGAGAAAATACTGTGGGAAAATGAAATAAAACCAATAAAAAAATAATAATGAATAATGAAAAAAGAAATATATTTTCCCTTGATACTAAAGGAATCGGAAATTTTATTATCTCACTTGGATTCTCCAAATGCCGTTAAGCAGCACTGTTTAGATCTATAAAAAAACACATAGAAAAAAGTTGTCCCTCCTGGGGCATGTTCATTTAATTGGTCCACTGGTGACTGAACTCTCTTTCCACTTTCTGACACATGGTGATGCATATGTCATTCAAAACTTTCACCTATGAAGTAAATCAACCTTTTCTTTGGTCATTCCAATTCAGCCCAAGACTGATTTGAGCTTGACCATTATAAGCATGTTTAGACCTCCAACAATGAAGTAAATATAAACTTTTCTTTGGTCATTCCAACTCTGCACAAGGCTGACTTGAGCTCAACCATTATAATGATGCTTATCCTTACTTACCCTAACTTCTGGACTAAAAAGAAAATGGACATACCCAACAGACATTGAGAACTTTGTTTCCTTACAGTCACCATAAAAAGGACAATAAACAGTCCATAGAAACCCAAGTTTATATATGCTTCTTTTTTTTAATTGTTTACATGTGAACACACAACCACCTATAATAAACCATCACACAAACTTTTTAAATACCATAATACTTATGAAACTAGAATTTATAACAGCTCATGGTTAAGGGGGAGGTGCAATAGTTTAAATTGTCCTGGGCACTCAAAAAACCCCACTTTACACCACTGTTCCCATCACCTAATAACTTTACAATATGTTATTTCTCTCTGAGGTTGTATCATTCTTGACACCGATAATAATCTTTTTATATCTGAAATTTAAAAAATAAGTATCAACAATTATACTATTATATATATTTATTTAGAATATGATGAACAGCCTTTTGTGTTGCATGATAAAATTTCTCACCATCAAGTAAATTCTTGCAAATATTTATAATCAAAACAGATATAAACTGACATTGATATCATATATCATGAAATTGGAGCTCAATTCTCCCACAAATTATGAGATTAAAAAGCCCCAACTCTACTTTATAGTAATTTGATATTTACTCATCCCTCCTCACAGAGTCGTGTTGTGACACAAGGTTGGTTTAATGTCAGTTTTTTTATTATTTCTTTTTACGGTATACTTAAAGCTAGTTTGTTTTTTTTCTCTTGTTAATGATTTTAATTTTTTTTTTTTTTTGTTTTATTCCATGATCTTTTTCAGCATTTTCATGATTTCCAACATTGTATTCCCATTACTCAATAACTTTACAATATGTTATTTCTCTCTGAGGTTGTATCATTCTTGACACCTATAATCTTTTTATATCTGAAATTTAAAAAATAAGTATCAATAACTATACCATTATATATACTTATTTAGAATATGATGAACAACCTTTGTATTGCATAATAAAATTTCTTATCATCAAATAAATTCTTGCAAATATTGTATTCCCATCACTCAATAATTTATAATATATTATTTCTTGACAACCATAATAATGTTTTTATATCCAAAATTTTAAAAACAAATATCAATAATTATGTTTCAAGTTTAACATTAATTGCAGCAATTTTAATTGCATCCCAGAGATTTTTAAAAAAATATTTTTCCATTCTCATATAAATATCTTAATGATGAACCATGTATTTTCTACTGGTTTAATATCTGTACAGGCTAGTGACCATTCCATTAACTTGGTATCTTTGGGGACATTTTTTTGACAAGGTGGGTAATAGTCAACTTTGCAGAATGTGAAAGAACATTGTCTTGCATGAATATACAGTGCTCTTTGATAAAAGTAACTCACCTTATCCTTTGAATTTAGCTCAACTTTCATTTCATCGGAGAAGAGAACATTCTTCCAGTCTTCTATGGTTAAATTTTTGTAATAGTGAAGCCCATTCAAGTCTCTTGGCTTTGTTGGCTTTGCTTATTAGTGACTTAAACCTTCGTGTACAAGATTTGTGGCCTTGTACTAACAAGATTTGTAACCTTGTTATGATGGACTGTTGAAGAGGCAAGACTAACACCTTGCTCTCCACTTAGACTGGCTGCAATTTCTTGGCTAGTTATAGTCCTATTCTTCGTAACTTCTCTCTTGATTACCCTTCCAGTTCTATCATCAATCTTTTTCTTTTGTCCCCTTGTTTCCTTCCTTCGAGCAGGAGTGGCATCATTATGTGCCCTAAGCACCCGAGAGACAGTTGATTGTGAGGTTATAGCAATTTCTGCAATTTCTCTCGTAGACTTGCCTGCTTTTGAGAGGGCAATAATAGATGCCTTAAGTGGTTCTGATGCATGTTTGTACCCTTTCATCTGGTTAGTGACTTGAGTGGCTATTTCAAGCTGTTTTTATACTGTATGAGGCTTTCTGGAATACTCTAGATTTAATTTAAGCTGTTCTAGTATTCTCTAGAATATTGTTCTGAGTGTATTGTAAAATAGTTTTCAATATTTTGTCAAAAGCTCCTTAAATTTACCAGTTTAATCATTAGAATGCGATATATGAGTCACTTTTTTGCACAGAGTTTTTTCCTGAATCTCATTTATATCCAAATTTATAATTATTGATAGAATACTTTAGGGTGAATAAACTTTTTTCCCAGGTGGTTGGGAAGAGGTCTTTATATTAGTAAGATTAAAAATTATTTTAACCTCAAAAACAATAGACAAAAAATATTTTTAGTAAAAAAATCAAGTGAGTCACTTTTAATGAACAGCATTATAATCTTTAGATTATAGTTTCTTGGTTGTGACCTGTACCAATAAAAAAAATACAATTTATCTAGTTAACAAAGTAAATGAGTATCTGACCTGGAAAACTGCAAGGAAGCAATCACAAATCTTGAATATGAAGAAGGTTTACTTCATCGTTCATTTGATACAGACAGCTGACCTTATGGTACACTAAATTACCATATATGAACAGCCATAACCAAAATTCAAGGACTGAATTCTACTGGTGAGTCTCAGTTCTATGTGAATAACTTTGTGAAGACCATGTGAGATGCACACCCTTGATACCAACTGGATGGCAACCTTGGATGTTGTAAGTGCCCACCAAGGTTCCAACAGATGAAGCTCTGCTGGTGGTTTGAGACAAATTAGTATTGAACCCCCTTTCTAGGAGAGCATACAAGGGTCTTGAGAGATAACCTAATGGAGATGTTGACATTCTGTAGGCAAACAACATATTTCCATCTGGGATTCAACATATACCAATAGGAAGTAGGATTAGCTATGGGATCACCATTATGGCCAGTAATGGCATATACATAGAATATTTAAAAGAAATTGCTAAAGGAATGTTATCATTAAAGTTAACCATGGGGCTTAAATATGTAGATGATGCACCAAGCAAAATGTTATAGGTACTGCTGTGCCTTGGAGACTGAATAAGAAGCTTCTATAGAGATCACAATGGAAAAAGTGACACTTTACATCACACTGGAAAAAGTAACAGTTTAAAAATTTCTCTCATGAAACAAGCTCTCTCAAAAGGGAACATGACCAAAAGCTCTGTGTATTCTATCCCATTCAGCTCTGACAAAAAAAAAAATACAAGGAAAAGACTAGCCATTCACTAAAAGTAAGGATGACAGAACATCAAAGCAGAGACATTGAAATCAGGCATGGCAGATCATATATGGCAGTAAAAGAGTGGTCATCAAATCTGTGGAATGCAGTCAATGTAATAGGGAACTACACCATAGGATAAGATTGAAAGAATCAGTTACATGTTAAGCTCTGTAGAGCTAGCTATGAACACCATCTGAAGGTCTCTTAGTAAGAAAGAAAGAACAAAGATTCTACCAATTGAGTACATACATTAGGTTTAAGGTCAAAATTACACCACTGGATTGTCTAAGAGGATTTCATATGCCTTATGTCACTAAGTACAGATTGAGAACAGTCTATCCCCTTTGATTGAATAAAGTGTTCGGTTCAAAATTCTGAGAAGGTTACTCAGTACAATACCTGGAAAAGGCTGGATGGTACAGCAACTGAAATGTTGTGAGTTTATTGATTGATTGGTTTGTTTTTTTACAGCTTATCAACCTTTTTGAAGTTATCTAAAGCCAAAACATATTTTTGCATTGTACACATTTTTGGTGACAATAATGCATTTCTGATAAAAGTTTTACTATTTAGACCATAGCTGGGAGAGGGACAGTTGGATTCTTGCCTTTCCCAAAGCTATTTGCATATAAGTGAATATAATGAACCTGATTGGAATTGAACCTCAGCTCTCTGATTTCCAATTCTGAACCATTATCCATTACACCACTCACATATGTGAACTTACAACATCAGGTATTCCCAAGCAGTCACTCATCTAAATACTAACCAGGCTCAATGTTGCTTAACATACAAGAATGGGTGTTTCATAGTGATATGGCCAAAAACTTGTTGTGAGTGTAACAACCAAGATGATGTTAACGCTTCAGATAGAAATGTATATAATAATAATAATTTCTCATTCAAAAAATCTAATATAAACTGATATTGATTTTTGGTTTATGGCCATATCATGTTGAAACACCAGTTCTTCTCCAATCACTGAAGTTAAACAATGTTGAGCCTGGTTGGTACCTAGATAGGTGACTGCTTGGGTATACCAGGTACTGTAAACTTGGATGCATGGATGGTTTAATGAATAAAAGCTTGGAATGAGAAATCGGAGAGCTGAGTTTGAATTCCAGTCAGGTTCATTATATTCACTTATGTGCAAATACCCTTGGAAAAGGTATGAATTCACCTCTTCTTCTCCCAGCTATGGGATAAATAGTAAAACTTGTATCTGAAAATCATTATTGTTTCCAAAAATTCTTACAATCCAAAAATATGTTTTGGCTTTAAATAACCACAAAAAGGTTGATAAGTCGTAAAAATCAAATCAATTAATCAATCATTGATATTTATATTTAACCTTCCATTAGTACTGTGGTGTGTTTCAATACCCCACAAAATGTTCTTCTTTAATTTTTAGCAAGTGGCAGGCCAAATTTTCATAATTAGTCAATCAGTTTTCTGAATACCTCCGTTAAGTAACTACAAGGAGTTTCTGGTTTTAGCCAAAATATTTGTGTAAATTTCAAGTAGTTTAATTTGCTTACGGAAAATAAAATGAAACCTATTTTCAAATATATGAATTTTTGTAACTGACTAGTTCATTTTTTAATATTGCTCTTTTAATTTAATTTTTTTAAAAATAAAACATTTTTTTAACTTTTATTCATATTTAAAAAAAAATAAAGGCCACTTGGCTCTCCAATAAACAATTCTTAGCCATTATCCATTACATCCCCCCACATCCAAGCTTACAACACCTTGTATTCCCAAGCGGTCACCCATCTAGGCAATGACCAAGCTCAACATTGCTTCATTTAGGTGATCGTAACTTGACAGTTGAGAAAATGAAGAACTAAATGATATATGTCTAATTCTAACAAAATAGACATGATTTTTGATAATTACTGAATTCAGTAGAATGTTTGAAATACTAAATACATATGAACTATGAATAGTCCTTTCATACTTTTACTTCTAATATACAGATATCAATCCATGAATTAAAAAAAAAAATAGAAAAATTAGAAAAGGGAGGTGATCAACCCCTGTGGAAAGAAGTAAAAATATTAGAGGGAGAACATAGGACAATCAAATGTCAGAAATAAACAACACATATACTAGGCTATGATGACCTCTTCAGTAGACCTAGCATAGAGATGAATACCATATGCGATCTGTTAATAAATAAATAAAGAGACATGACAGCAAGGCTTCAACAACATGAGCAGAATCAGCAGTGGTAAGAAAAGAGAAGCAGTGGTGGATACAGTCATATGGGACAACAGCAGTACGCAGCATCAGTAGCCAGCAAAAAAGTAGAATATTATATATATGTATTTATTATTATTATTATTGTTATTCAGATATTTCTCTCATGGTCAGCTCTATGTAGCTATGTCCAGATTAAGAAATTCAAGTGGATTTAGCATAATGACAAAAGGAAATTTATAAAATAGATAGCTTGCTGAAAATGTTCTTTCTACAGAAATTTTAGCGATGTAAAAGAATTTCTGTGACAATTTTTCTCCGTGTATTTAGCTAGTATTTTAAATGGGTTGCTTGTAAACATTATGGTATTCGTAATAATAAACATTATGGTACTATTAATAATAAACATTATGGTACTAATAATGCAACAATGTCCTCCAGTACTAATGGAGGGTTAGAATATTGTCAAGTTAACTGAAAATTTTACAAGATATGGTCATGATAAATGATAACAACAAAAAAAAAAACATGATTGGAAAGGTAGAAATTTACTCATCTTATATTAGTTCAGTTGTATAGTATGGCACTTAGTGAGGTTCAAACTCTATGAGATGAGTTTTCTAATGATTGCTTTATGATGAACACCTTATGAATAGAGTTGTAATCCGAGACAAACATCCACCAGCTATATAAACAATGTTATAGTATCTTTATTTCAGTACAAACATTGGTTCTCATACAATCAACCAAGTTAAATGATCTTAAACTTGGTCAGTACCTAGATGGAGACCGCTTGGAAATACCAGGTGCTGTAAGCTTGGATGTGCAGGTGGTGTAATGGATAACGGCTTGGAATTGGAAAGCGGAGAGCAAGGTTCCAATTCCAATTGGGTTTGTTATATTTACTTACATACAAATATCCTTGGGAAAGGTATGAATCCATCTCTTCTCCACTCCAACCTCAGCTATAAGTTAATTAGTAGAACTTGTATCAGTAAATTATTATTAACTCCAAAAAAATCTTATGATCTAAAAATATTTTCTGGCTTTAAATAATTTGCAAAAGGGTGGTAAACTGTAAAAAACAAATTTATAATCTATATTTCAGTACAGCTTGTACATTAAAAATACTAGCATATGACTATATTCATGAAACAACTGCTGATGTAGGAACCTATACATGTCTTGCAAACACTGCAATGCTGCAAGTGCTTAAAGTACTTGAAGGTATATTATTAAAAAACTTGTTTAGTACTACATGTTCACTATATAGCAATTGATGTGCTATAGGACCATGTTCAGAATCATAATTCAAAATTAAATTCAGAATTAATTATATAGGAATCAATTAGGCAACAACAATAATAATAACAAAAAACAACAATAATAGTAGCAATAGTAGTAGCTACAATAGTCCAGTAGATTAATGTGTTGGGTTGTGAATTTTGTGACATAGTAATTTTGAGTTCAATCCCTGGGCCGGGTGGAAACCAAAAATAAATGAAAACGAGGCAAGATATCTCTAGACATGGGCAATGGAATGAAAACAGTCTATCCCTATAGATTAAATTATGGGTTCAGTTTGCAATTCACTGTAGGTTACCCAGATCAATATGATGAAGGCCAGAGGGCACAACAGCTGAAACATGATAACAATAACATCAATGAGGATATTAGTCCACATGCAAATAGTGTAAATAATAATAATGAAGTTTGAATTCCTGAATAATGACATGATCATGAGTCCTGCAAGCCATTAGCGTTATAGATGCACTACATGTACTGCATGTACTACATGTACTGAAGTGGGTGTGTCTAAGGCAAGATAGTACATCCCTCTTCAGGATGCTTTTGAATTCAGAATTTTCCTTCTACACTGGTTGCCACTCAAGACTAGAGAAAACCAGTTTTCCAGTCTATAATAGATTCATGCCTTTCCCAAGGGCATTAGTACAAAAGTAAACACAACAAACTGGCTTGGCTCACCTATTCCACTTTCCATGCTGATATCCATTACACTGTCTTCACATTCATGACCATTATATAGCAATCAATGAACCATAAAACTTTATTGATAACCACTGTTACAAGTTTGAATTCAGGGATTTATAGAAAAAAAGTTTTAATTTTTTAATACCAAATAACCATTATATACTGTTTTTCATAAAACTATATTTGTCATTCTAGATGTTCTTTTCATCTCTCTCATAGTTGATTAATATTTGTTTAGGATAAGGCAAAGTTTACAGACATATAAATGTATTGAATAAGAGGTCAGTATTTGAATTTTAAGGTTCTTTTTTAGTGTACTGCCTTTTATTTACTCAACCTCTCACTAGTTTATCTGCTTAACCTTCCACCCCCACTTTTTCCACCAACCTTGGTATCACCTAGCTACCTGGGTGTTTTCAATATTTGCCATAAATACAAATCTACAAATCTGCTTGACTTCTTTATTTTTCTTATCAGTTGGGGGATTAAAAAAAAAGAAGTTACTACAAGTTGCAAAATGGCTGGTAAGTGAAATTGGCTTTGATTTTTCTTTTTTTTTTTAATCGGAAAAGAAGAAAAAATGTATTTTAACAAGCATCATCCTCTACAAAGTTGTATATTATTTATTCAGTATTTTAAACATCATGCTTTTGCTGTTTCATTTCATTAAAAAATAAAATAAAGATTTCAAAAAAAGTGAAATAAACTGACAAAAATTCAAAATTGCTTCCAACAAAAGCCCATAAGGATCATTTGAAAATTGGGGGTGCAATAAACTTAAACAGTAAAATTAATATCAACCAGCCTTGAGATTGAGAAGTCCTTACTGAAGAAAAATGTACCTCCTGATAGGAATTGAACATGTATTCTTTTATTTCATCAGGAGAACCACTTCTTTAGCCAAAGTGGGCAACATTGGTAGATTACCCTTTTGCTAAAGAAGTAGTTCCCCTGATGAAAAAATGGAATAGGTTCAATTTTTATTGGGAGGCACATTTTTCTTTAGTCTCCTCAGTCTCTAGTTGGGTGATATTAATTTCACTATTTAAGAAAATAACAAGGATATTGGCTCAAACACATGTACATAGTAAAAATAATGGTTATAGTTATAAGAAATAATGTCACATTTAAAAAAATCCATTTAAAAAAAAAGGTTAAAAAATATTGTTATTGAGATAATAAATTGGCAGCCATTATTATTATTGACTAATATTTTTGTTTCATTTAATAAATTGGGATAAAAAGCAACTAAAATCAACACACCAGTTAAAATTAATAAAATTAGGTTCAAGTTTTATCAGTGTTGTTACTTTTAGTTTTATTATTCTACAATGAAAAAATAACAAACATTTTGTTAATCTGTGAACCATTCAGCTGTAGTTAATTTAGTCATATGGAAATATCATTGCTTGAATTTATAATCCTAAAGTTATAACTAAATATTGTTAAGTTCCTTAATCATAGAAATAAATGAAACTAATGGGTTCTGTTCAAATCTTACCTGGAAACTATCCATTGTATTGTTTGTGAAGAAAAAATTTAAAAATCTATATAAAGATTTAGTAAAACAAAAAAAATTAGACAGATTTAGATGATAGTGGACACATTAGTAGAACATATTCTATTAACTGATCTATCTCAGACAAAATAAAAACCTCTTTTGTTGAACATTTTTAAGATAAAATATCCCCACTGTGTGGCTACCAAGTTAAAATAAAATTTAATTAACTTATCGTTTACGGGGAAAGGTAAAAATTACATAGCATTTAAAACTTAACAAATTATTCATTTGCAAAGTTTCAACTTTTAGGCATTTATAGTTATTAGAAATTTTATATTCTTCAATTAACATACTTTC